GATCGCTACTAATTATAACCCTGTGGATTTAAATTCTTTTGGCTAACGTACACAGTGACTTCTAAAATTGATCATATAAATTTAATTTCGATTCTTTTCCATGATGGTAACTCGCATAAAGAATCAAAATATTGACTTGAACAGAAAAAATTGTTTCCAACAACAATTCGAAGAAAATAAAATCTTTACAATATTCCTCAAATTTAGTTTTTTAGTCCCAAACATCTGAAAATAAAAGCTTGTATTATACGTTTTCTAAGTGTTTCTTAATATTGATGTATGTTTCGTCAAAAAAATGTTGTGAAAAGCTCGAAGATGTATCATTTTCTAAAGAAATAATCATTCTATTTTGAGGGGGGGGGGAGGATTTTATAACGATCTTGGACTTACAGAACATTGTGAAGATTTTATTTTCCACAAATCCTTATCACAGAATATTTATGCAAGTAATCATTAGAGAAAAAAAAATTAAATCTGCAAGATTAATTTTTGGAGCAACTGTTTACTTTGTTTTGTACTATTTATTTATGAGAACTTCTCTGTGATTTGCTTTTTCTTGAAATTTACTTATGAATCTATAATAGTAGTGCATTTTTGTTCATTATATAACATAAACTTGTTGTTTTGTAAAAATAAAAATTCTTGACTATTTTAATGATGCGACTTTGATGTCCGACTTTTAATATTAACGAATTAGTGTTGTTGTAGAATAATAGAAAAAAAAATTATTGTTGTATGATAAGCTTTTCTTACCAGGTAAAGTTTGATCTGAAATTGATATTGGTGTATTTGGACATAATGAAATTTCTTTTGGTATACTAAATGATTTTTGTTTATTAAATATAATATAAATTAATGCTGTATCATTTAAATATGTTTTTTCATCAATTGCATAAACTATTAATTGAATTTGATGAAATGTTTTCATTCTATATAAATCATAATGAAATAATATAATACCACTAGTTTGATTAATAATTAAACCATATGAATTTGTTTGTAATTTATATCGAATAGGATTTGAACTTTTAGCAAAAACACGAATATTATTTGTATAAAAATAATAAATATTAGATGAAAATTTTGGTTGAATATTTGAATTAATAAATAAAATTTTAATTTGACTTGACGATATTGATTTTTCATTTGATAATTGTATTTCAAAAAAACATATATCCGATAAAATAGGATAATTTTTAAAAAATAATTTATTTTGTTTGAAATAAAAATTTTCTATACAATTATTTCTTGTTAATGGTGTTGAAGTAATAATTAGAATAGAATTTTTTTTAATTTTAAATTTACTAATAAAATAATTATTTTTTAAAAAATTTTTTTCAATTGAATATTCATAAAAATTTTTATTTAATTTTAAAATTTTATCAACATACATTATTTGTATTGATGTTTGACAAGTATAATTTTTCCAATAACCATATATATTAAAATAATATATTTTCAATGGATATAATTGTTTTTTTAAAATTATTTTATTTTGATTA